AGAGGGATTATTAAAAAAAATTCATTCTACTTTTAAGAATTCGAAAATTTCAGATTTCACCATTTTTGTTGAAACTTGAGTTACTCATACGATTTAAAATTTCTCTTTCAACATATTGTTAAAATTCAAAATGTTATGAAAGATGAAAAAAACGGTTTTTGAATCAGAAACAAAAAGTATAACAAATATTGATCTTTATTAGACAGATATTTTCATATACAATATCTCTTTGAAGTATATTTTTTCTTGATTAGTATCTTTGAGATCATTCAAAAAAAAAATATTCCATCAATATTTATTTTGATATTATTTAGAACAAATAAACAAAAAGTCACCATTAACAATATATCATCAAGAGATACACAATGAATCATTACGTTTAGAACTCTATATTTTAATAGAATAATCTATCTGTTTAAATTGATATTAAATAATATGATTTCACATCACAAAGAATAAAATATTTCTTGTGAAAAATACTTATTATCATTCCCGATGGCAAGTAAACATCAATGATGTTTTAATATAGATAACATTTCTATATATGAATATGACATTGACATCCGAAAAACATTGGATGTAATTGTCTGAAATCAAAATAATATTATTTATGTTGACTACAAACTGTATTATTTAAACCAAAATTTACAGTTTTTTAGTCATAAATACCTGATAAAAAAATGAAATACTTGTTTTCTTTTAATGATTCTCTAGACATTTTTTGTTTTACATGAATTTAGATTTAATTTATATATGTCTTATCGAGATTTTTAACTTGACATGTAATTTTTCCACATGCCAACGCCACATTTTCAGCACATAATTCACCATCGTCTGCTAACAAATGAAAATGAATGTTATGAATATATATATATATATAAAATCTTCATTCAGTACATGCTAACTCAAACTGATGAGTTATTGACTATTTCATATTAACATAAATTAATTTTTGCACACGATCAATTTAAGTTTCTCCACCGATGAATAGAGTTACTCCAAGTGATACTCCCTGGAAAATTATTTACGATTTATTATTTTAATTCTATATATATTTCTCTATTTAATCTTTATAATAGCTTTACAAATAGGCAAAGAATCTCTCGTGACTAAAGATATTTTTTTTTTAATAATCATATTGAATCAAATATAGGAACTAATTTATAAACGAACAAAAATAACATAATGTCATAGAGTTTATTAGTTTAAAAGAAGAAACACGAATAGAAAAAAAAATGTCTGATTTTTCTTTCATTATTGGTTTAATAGCTATTTTCAGATAAAACTCTACTCAACCTTAGATATCTATTGGTCGGCCAAAGAAACCTAAATGATAAAATCGAGAAAAAAAATTGAAAATTTGTATATAGTAATTATTGAGTAATGATAATACCTTTCAACGTTTTATTGAAACCTTCTCCTCAAAAATGTCAATTTTCGTCAGAAATATCGAAATTAAGACAAATGCATGGGAAAATAGTATAAGATTTAATCTTCTATAAATGGCTTGATCTTTTATTTCGTACCTAGATTTTAGTCAAAAACTTTTGATGATTTCTGTCATCATCTACTTGAAAAATATGCTACTTTTTAGACAAAAACAGGACATTTTGTTTTCGTTTTTCCCCCTGTTTATGCTTTTTTGGTTGCGCGTGCCATAATTCTTGAAAGAGCTTCATTGTAGTCAATTGCTTTTTTTTTGTTTGAAAGAGCATGTCAAGATGCAGAGCATGATAGATTCCTTTCTTTTTTAATTAAGCTTTATTACTATTATATAACGGAGTACTTTCTTTTTAATTAGAGCGTCATTTATTTGAGAGATTTTCGAGACGTGAAACTGATTACCTCTATTCTTCTCTTAAAAAATAAAAATTTAAAAAGAACCAGGGCTTTGTGATGCTCTTTCAAATAAAAAAAATAACTAGTACATAGAATGAAGGAGCACAGAGTTTTTAGTTACCGAATGAGCTATTTTCGATCATTGCTTGTTAAATATCTCTGAAAAAGAACATAATCTAGGGCTAGGAATTTTATCGTAGCCTCTCCACTACATTTTTAACATAATCTAAAACTTTCATGCGATTTGAATGTCCTTGGGTCAATATCGATTATTGATGGGTGGAGAAGCCGTAGTTGAAAATTCAATACATATCGTTGCATCATTTTTTTAATTATAATTTAAAAAAGAACAGAAATAGTTATCTAAGTCTATTTCGTAGATTTCTATTGTAATATTCATCAAAAGGCAGAAAAAAAGAGGTCATGACTTTGGAATGGTAAAGTTAAGCTTTTTGTGACGTGTCAAGTATTATGCAAATAGATAAACCATCAAGTTCGGACCTCGGTATATTCTACGAATATATCAAGATGTTAAATTGCAATGAAATTGATAATGAGTAATATCATATCACATCATATAGAACCGAAAAAAAGATATTTTTTCTTACTCAAGATATAAAGTATAATTGTATAGGTCAAGTCATTTCTTAACATCAATTGTATTTGAAATCTCGATAAGGTTTCTATATGAATATGAAGCTGATATCTGTAAACGTTGGACTTTCATTTTATAAAAACACAATGGAAATCTCCCATCGTTTTAATACGACTTCATTTTTTGACATCAGAGGGAACATCTCAAGGTCGGCTGGATTGAATTAGAGGGAAGAGGGGATTAGGCATTTTTTTAAGAATAGGTCAGCTAAAAAACGAATAAAACGCTGGAAATTCTCTGAGATTCCCCAAGACTGACAGAGGGAATCAACTCTTCCGACTCGTTCGCTTGAAACACTCCTGTTTATCAACTAATACAATCATTAGTTTTTTCGTTTGATATAATTGTACTTAATTTGACAAAGAATTTTTTCTTCTTTTAAACCATTAACTCTGCGACTCTATAGAATTCAAGCGATCCTCAACACGTTAATTGGGTAAATAAAGTTCTTTTTCCCTTTGAATATCTTTTATAAAAATTATGTCAATTTGATGATTATCAGGTACGATATAAAGCATGACATATTTTATATAAAAATGATAGAACACTCTCACATCATTTCTTTGATCTTTGGATTGTTTCTCCTTGAATATCTTATAGAAATAGACGTAGTTTTAAAATATGTATGTCATTTTGATAATTCATTAGAAAAGTGTGTTTTTCGAAATCAAAAATGGTGTAGTCATATATATGGAAATTACTTGTGAATAAATAAATATTGGAAAAACATTTCTTTGAAGAAAAACTAGAATAGAAAAGAAGCTCAAACAAACAAAAATTTTCTTAGTTTTTAAATGTTTAATTGAAACATTTTCGATATAAATAATCAATCTTTGCTTTGATTAAATTTTCTCACAAGGAGAGAACAAACTGACTTGTATCTACCAACGATAAAATGTTTGTGAATCGTACTTATGATAGATACTTCCATGCAGTGGCGTAGCCAGGATTTTTTAAGTAGGTGGTGGCGGTGGGCAATTGTAAAATCTAGTGGGCAATAATTTTTTAAAAACTTATTCACATTACAGAAGCCATTGTTTATTGAAGAGAAATTAGTCATTCTACATTAACAGATATAAGTATACACAGATACTTACATTTTTTGACAATAGGTAATTGCCCACATTTAAAAAAAATGAGTGGCAATTGCCAAACTACCACCCTGCTGGCTACGCTACTGCTTCCATGGGTAGTCAACCGCAAAAACCTAAAACTCTCAGAAGATTTTTTTCATTTGTAAAATTTCGTACAGCTCATTACGTTGATCATTTTCGTAAAAATATATTCAATTTTACTTGATAAATCATGGTGCGAGGAGCAAAATAATCAAAAATATTCCCTATTGCTCATTAGCGGTCAGAAATAGTCGCATTTTTGAGTATTTTGGCCGTAGTACCATAGTTTATTGAGTAAATTTGAACATTCTTTTTAACCAAAATGATCAATGCAATAACCTCTACAAAGTCCTATTGAGAAAAAACCTTTTGAGAATATTGCGTTTTTTGCAGTTCATCACCCATGAAAGTGTTCATGAAAAATATGATTCGCAAGCATTTTGTTGTAGATAGTGCGCTTGAAATAACTGAAAATCATCAGAAATTATTGTAACGCCTTGAGGATACGAATCATGACTAGAAATGGTTAAACATTATCGGATACCATCAAAAATCAATGAAAATCACTCAAAATCATAGAAAATATTCAGTAATCAGATCAAAAAAAAAGTTCCGACTATTATTGTATCACTCCTAAATTTCTGCATTTTTACGGTATTTTTCCAGTAAAATGTCATAGTTCTTCTCAGGAACACTAAGAAAGCTGAGTTTCGTATTTCGACTTGAAACTTTGTACAGAGATAGACCTTAACGAGAACAGTTTATTGTGAAAGCTACAGAGTTTTCTTATTTTTTTCTATTTTGACCTAAGAACGCCGGGATCTACGGGTGTATATGAGCGAAGAGTCCAAAACGTGCTTTTACTGTAGTCGTATCTTGGGATATGGAAAACAAAATGACCTGAAATTTTCACAATAAACTTTTCTCGTTAAGGTCTGTTGCTGTGCAAAGCTTCAAGTTAAAATTCAGAACTCAGCTTTCTTCGTGTTTTTGATGAAGACTATAACATTCTACTAAAAAATACCGTAAAAATGAAATACCTCAGCAGCGATAAATCAATAGTCCGAACCTATTCCCAATATATTCATAGTTCATTAGGATCTATATGATTCATATAGTTCTGATCCAAGAGTGATTTGACATTTGGATATATTTCCTCGTAGGATTAGAATTGGTGAACAGTACAGATAATAGCATTGTTTAGCTAAAACACATCATATCTTGCTAAGTACTGTTAGATTTTGATAATTCAGGAGAAACAAACGAAGAGAATTATTATGTCTGCTTGTTCTTATTTAGGAATTGAAACGAATATACATTATAAATCGATAGTTTTTTGTTTTTTTCTGATTAAAATAAGCAAAAGATATAAAAAGAAAAAACGAGTTCATTCAATCCGCAATATAAATAACTTGATGTTTTTCAAGTAAATCAATATCTTTTTCAAGTAGTTGCATTTGATGTTCAAGACGTTCTTTGTGCTGTCGTTTAGGAATTGTATCAATAATAACCGAAAGTGTTTGATATTCATGATGAACATCTTCCCATTGTTTTTTCAAACCTATTTTTTTATAGAAAAAACAAGAGAATAATTTATAAAGAATAATATATTAAAAACAAACCGTCAATAATTGTTTGTCGTTCATTGTCATCCATTTCACGCATCGCTCCACGACGAAAATAATCTGAAACATAAGTTTGATATTCTTGTTTAGCTTTTTCCATTTCTTCCCGACGAGATTTTATATAGACCGGTACTTCACCAAAATTCTAGAATATAGAAAAAAAAATCAAACATTGAAATTAATAATAATTCAAAATAACTACTTTTTTAAATATGTATTTTGGTGCTAAACCACTTGGATCAACGGGAAATTTATCTCCGAATCGATCATCAACAACATTTCTTTCCGGTTTTCTCGGTACTGTCATAACAACATCAAGAGCATTTGTTTGAATAAAATTTTTTTCTGTTCTTGCACCCATTTTAGGTACATCACGAATACTTGGAACAGGTGGTTTACGATAAGAACGATCTTTATTTGTTGAGGTATCTTTTGCTAATATAAAAAACAAAACATTTAAAATATTTGAGAATGATTAGAAAAAAAAAGAAAGTTACGAGCAGGTTGAGCAACCGTTTTGCTATCATTTTGTTTTTTCTTAAGAAATTGTTGTGGATCGGGTAATGGTTCTTCAGCATAACCCATTGTTCGATGTTCATGTTTACCTTCTTTGGATGATTCACGAACATTGGATTTAAATTTTGATTCATAACTAATAAAAAGATTAATAAGATTGAATAGATAATAGAAAAACAAATGTTCTACCGAGGTGGTTTTGGTGCCTGAACTTGTACACGAGGTATTAAATTATATACGGATTCTTCTTGTTGATGTGCACCATTTTGTCCGACAACCATTTTTGTTAAATTTCTCTTAGAAAAACAACTCGAATGTGCAATGTTATGAGAAACAAATTATTAACCATCATAACACATTGATTTACATTTGTTTCTTAGCAACAGAAATATTCAAATGAAGTATAATTACATAAATAAAATACTCAATAAAAGAATATATTCTTTAATGAGTTATTTGGTTTAAATATAAATCTAGGAAAAAAAGAAAACTTTAATGATGGTTTAGTGAGGTCGCTAGTTTACAGTCCTGTTCTAATCTAATAAATAATAAAATATTTATACTTTTCAAATTTGATTTTCATTTTATTGGTAAACTATCAACTAAAAATTGACTTTTTTATGAATTTTATCTCAGAAATCTGTTTACAATACGGTAGATAGAATTCAGATGTAACATTGTATTTATATTCAGTTGAATGTTCATAAAACTATTTTTGTTTTTAACACTTAGTGTTCAAGAATTTCTTAAAGACCAAAATTTAAAATGAAACTTTTCTGTATGCCGGTCTTTCTTTTGTTCAAATATACACCAAATTAAGAATTTTGGTGAAGTTCTCTTTGAAAGAAAATTCTGTACCATTTCAAATGACGTAAAGAAGTGAATTATTCTATTTCTTTGATATGTAGATAGTGTACTTTAGCTAGCATCTAATTAAGTTTACCCTTCGGTATGGAATTTATCAAGGTATTAATATTTGCCATACGTATGAATCCCTCTAGTAGAATGAATGGTTTTAAACTAGCTCATAGCATTGTGAGAACATTGAAGCATATCTCTACGCTAGAATGTCTTTAATTAAATGAGACATCAAAGAAGACAATGCATTATATAAAGTTCCATATAAAACATGAATGCAATTTTATTCTCGTTCCCTTCAAAAAAAAAGGTCGTGACCATAATTTTTTCTCTCGATAATACTCTCTATCCAATACTGTATTTGATGACTGTAGGTTTTGAGACCTTTATTTGCTGCATGATAGTTTTAAAAAAAATTATGTGAAAGATTTACCGAACTGGAGTTGAAAATGATCAATATTAACTTTTACAAGACTCCTAAAAGAATTATTTTATAATATTTCGATGAAAACAATCTTTAAAACAGGAGCAATTGCTCTAAAAATCGTGTAGATTTGAAAAACTTGATCTAGAATAATTGTTGTCATCAAAGTTTTTGGTACTGCTTTGGTTTTTAAATACTACACAATTCTAGAAAAATAGGAAAAAATCGTCTATGTGGTATGACAATCATAACTATCAGACTCAAGTTATCCTGAATGACGTCAGAGACAAATTAGCGGTAAACATGATCATTATGTTATTATGTGTAACATGAAAAAACTGCACCGATCTGCCCTCTTAAGTTTAATATTAGTTTTACAAAGAAGGAAACATGATGACTCGTCTACTCATGTCATCGGAATTTGCTTCAAACCGTTGATTCAAGGAGTTAAATATTTTTTTTAACGATTTAGTATTGATTACATCGATTTCCACAAAAACAAGCAAGTCGATTTTAACACATTATTATAGATGATGATGCTAGATGACACTTCAGTTTTCACTTTTAGTTCATGCTACAAAACAAGGAATGTTTTTTTTGATACGATCTTTAACAAGCAAGTAACTGTAGAAAATAAACGAAATTAGTCGACATGTCTGACACGTGTTGTCTGAGCTCGCTCATATAGTTTCTAGTTAAAACTAAGTTTTTTCTAACGATTAAAACATATCCATGCAGTAAGATATACAAAAAGGTTTAAGGTAACGAATCACAGTTAACCTCCGAGTTGACCGAATACTATTCAAACAGTTATCATGACATGAGTAATTTTCATCCGAAGCATTCAAACAGTGATTGATCTCTGTGAGATTACTCACTGTTCGAAAGAAAACTTTTTGCATTCAATAAAAGCCAGAATAAATACACAGAAATGTGAGAAATTTCGTGCTCAACCTTTGTAAGTTATTAAAAGTGAAAGCTAATATCAATGAAGGAATCAAAGATTGACAACATTGTTTTTTTTTAAAAAAAACAACATGGCAACCCTGAATTTTTTTCCATTTTCAATTGGTTTCAAAAATTTTCTTACTATTATTTTCTACTTCAATACACTTCATTACACAAAGATACTTTTTTTTATGCTTTAATAATTCTTCATCACTTCATTTATTTAACAAATATTACAGTTTTCATTTTTATGACACTTTGCTTTTTCTTTGGTGTTTCCTTTTGTGTAATTTTAAATAAACGATATACAAAAAGAAAAGAAACAACAATTTATTTTTTTATTATTATTTTTTTCCATATAATTTTAATCTTGCAAAACGAAACAAAATACACGCACACGCACACAGAAAATGATAATAATGGACGGTTGAAACTGTTTAAAATCACAGTGATAAATACAAGAAAAAAAGATAATAATATTCAAACTAATTAAAATATTATTTTCTGGATGGAATAATTGCAAATGGTGTGTGTCACACAGATAATTTTCAAAGAGAAATGCCTCAAACATGAACAAATAAAAAACATCAAGGAAATAATGCTGGACGGAAGAAAAAAAAGCAAAGAAAAAAAAAACACTCCACAAACAAGAAAAAAAGGAAGACCCTAAACAAACATTTATTTACAATAAATAAACCTTTTTTTTTATGGTTATTTAGATAATTTTAAATCAAATGCTGTTTCAAGTGATGGCAACTTTGTTGGAGTTATACTTTCATTTGAAAGCCACCATGATGGTCGTTTTATTCCACGACCTTTTATAGCAAGAGATTGTTGTTGTTGTTGCTGTTGTTGTTGTTGTTGTACATCATCGTCAAACAAGGAATTAAATGTTGACTGTTTAGTTGGATAATCAAAACCATCAAATGCACTTGAATCTCCACCGGCTGCTGCTGCTTCAGCTGAATACGTTAAATCTGTTAATGCTGCGTTAAAATCATTAAATAAATCTTGCTCAGTTTTTGTTGATAGAAGTGGTTGAACATCAATATCATTTGGTGTTTCACATAAATAAGCATCCCAATCAAATGTAACTGAATCTAATAAAAGCATATCTGTGTCATCTAATTTTGTTGAAATAATATTTTGTTTTATTATAGCTGATGACATTGATGATGGTGAACTTGACGGTGATGGAGTTGAAACAGATGAAAAATCATTTATTTGTTGTTGATGATAAAATGGTGGAACTGTTAATGAATCTGGTGATGATATTGGAGAAAGAAAACTACTTGGCATTCGAACATATGATGATGGACGATCAATATTTGTTGTATGACATTGAAGAGGTAACTGATTTTTTGATGGAATACATGGAAGAATTGAATCGATCCATGATTCAGTTTTAATACCATTATTTAATTGTGTAATATTATCAGAAGTATTTGTTGATCGTTTTGATGTACGTGTAGGTTTTTTTTGTGATGGATTTATTTGTCGATCTTGGTGATTATTTATTGAAATTTTATTTTGTGAACGTTGTCGTTCATAATCTGGCGATAATTTCCAAAATCCACCTTTACCTCCAGCTTCTTTTTTTGTACGTGGAACTTTAACAAAATATTTGTTCAATGATAAATTATGACGAATGGAGTTCTACAAGAATTTCAAATAATCATAGAATATAAATAATTAAATATTTCTTTATGTTCTTTTTTAATCAGATATAGGAAAGAAAAAGTTATAAGGAAGTTAGGCAAGGTCAAAGGAAAAGAAGACTGTTCTTATTTCCTATAGGGTGAATATTAATCATTTCCGCATTTTCTTTTTTTTTTTCATTTCACTAACATTTTTTCATTAAACAAAATAACTGAAATGTCTTTACCATGTTTTTTCTCATAACATTTAGAAAAACAAAAAAATTCTTTTTTTTTCATCCTTTTAAGTGTTTAATAATTAATGCATAATAATTTCAAAATACCTGCCATGTTGGTTCCATTTTTTTAAAATAAGGAAAATTATCTGCAACCCACTCATAAATCATTTGTAATGTCATTTTTTCATGACCTGATTGTCTCATAGCCAAAAAGATAAGTTGAGAATATGAATAAACCGGTTTTGCTTGAGGATTTGTTTTATAAATTTTCCATTGTTCATCATCATTATCATCATTATTTAATGTTAACTCATTGTTATCATCAATATCATTTGGATAAACAGCACCAATATTTGATGAAGATAAAGATATAGAAGTATTAGATAAAGATTGTTCTTTACGCTTGTTACTAATTACATTATTTACTGAGCTACTTGATGATGAAGATGATGATGATGATGAACAATTTGATGATAAATTTATTGTTGGAATAGTTCGTTTTAATATATTTATATCATGTAACCATGAAAGATTTGTTAAACTATCATCAAAAATATTGAATGTTGCTGTTGAAATACGTGATGGTGTATTTATATTATGTGCTGTTAAAACATTTGTTGTTTCAATTGTTTTATTCATTGAGCTATTCGATGGTACCAACGTATAAACATTTCGTTGGATAGGACACTGTGTCATCGACGATGTACAATTTTGTCTACAATGAAAGTTTTTTTTTTTTTCAATTAGTTAATCAATCAAGAAAAAAAAAATGATAAGAAAACTTATTTTTCCACGGTTAAACAGGACGGAAAAATGTTTTGTAAATACCGTTACACAGCTATACTTGCATTCGCCTGCTGTTTTTCAAGAGTTAAATTGCTTTTTTCAATTTTATTAGATTCTTTCTTTTGTTCAAGGATAAATACGTTTCTGTCTTGATGTCATAATATGTTTTTTTTTCTTTTTGTCGATCTCATTTGATGAATGACAGGCAGTACCACAAGCTTGAATTTTACGCATATGTGAATTGAACAAGTTTCTCTTTTTTCTTCTTCAAGGACAGATTAATGAAGTAATTTGATTCTCACCTCTTTCACATGATGTCAAATTTTTTTTTTGTTGTTGACGAATGAAGTATCATGCAAAATCAAGAAATAGCGACTTACCAAATAGTTTAAATATGTTACTTAACATGAATCGAATCTATATCGTAATGTCACAAAGCTCTAACGTGTCCTTATTTCTACATAATCATTTGCTGAACAGAGAGCGAGGGGGAAAAGCCGTAAGAAAAAAAAAAATGACCTTGAGTTTTTCTAAATGCTCACACACACGCATCGAGAAGCAATTATTGCACCCGTTTTTGTCATTCTCGTCGGAAACATTAGCAAGCAATACGAGAGTAAGATGACGAGAATGAAGAAAAAAAAGAACAAAAAAGGTAACAACAGAAAAAAAGCTCACACTATCGGAAATATCTATAAAGCATGATTGCATGAAATCAATTATTTGAACTAGTTCTAGGTTTAAATAAGCACGTACACACGCTACCTTTTTCTCACGATGATGGTCAGATGAGCTATCGGCTTTAAGTTTTTGTTTCGTCTATTGTTGTTTTTTTACATTAACATAGATGAAGTGAAACGGACACTGAATAATTTTAGATGTATGTGGGAGTGAAAGAATCGAAATTCTTTCTGCTTTCTTTCGATGCACACAAAAGGAGAGCGAGAGAGAATAAAATTTCAAGTCTTTCTTATTCTTCTTGTCGAACGTATACGCTCTCTCTCTAACTCACGTCTGATGAGATCGATGATGAGATGTGTATGAGTATTTGTAAGATGCAACAAACGAAGCATACGGCAAAAAAAAGAAGAACAACACATTCTTAAAAAAAAAAATAAAGCCGATATAAAAGAAATGGAAAGACGAAGAAAAAAAAAGTGTTGTTGCCTGCGGTTTTTACATACAATGAAAATGATGATGAAAATCAACGGAAGACTACCTGCTGTTGACATCAACATGAAAAGAGAATAATACAAAAATCATAAATCACTGGTTTCACTTATCTTTTGAATCAAAATTGATTATGCTCTATCATATTAAATCTTCAATGGGTAAATAAGTGTCATCTATTCTTACAGCTTACTCTTGTCTGTTTAATAAACACATTTACAGTTTCTTTCAAAAAAGAAAGAAGGAGAGAGAGAGAGAGAGAGAAGAAAAAGTATATACGATTTTATTCTACATCACACAAGCAAACGTTACTTGAGACACAAAACTCTTCTGATGATGATGACTAACGAAAAAGAATTATGTATATATTTACATAAAAACGAATTCTCTCTCTTTTGCGCACGCTTGGTATAAATCTTGAACCTACCTGATAATGAACAATCATCAGCCTTCACAATGATGCAACCTGAGAAAGAATATTACGTGTTCTTTTCTCTTTCTTTTAAACGAATGATTGAGAAACGAGAAAAAGTGAAATTCTAGGACGCCAACAATGGTAACTTGCACTCATAATTTTACATCATCTTTTCTTTTCTTTTTTCGTTTCTTTGTTTTTTTTACTTGCCTACTTGCACTTATACATATGAAAAAATTCGACTAGCTGTTCAAATATTCATAATCAACTTTCATTTATTCGTCTATAAAATAATGTATGAACAACGACAACTTGTATGTTTACATAAAGAGAATAATAAGAGTACCATCTCATTTGTCTACTCGACACTTGTACGATTTTGTTTAATTAGCCATATGAGACTGTATCACGCTAAGTAACCTTCTTTATGAATCAATCAAATATAAAGCATAAACTACGCAAAAAGAAGACATGATGTGAATTTACTTTTCATACATCTTTGGTTATATCCAGTTTGTCCTTCTATTTTTATGACTTTCAAAAAAAAAAACGAATCAATATAATAGCATGATATTAGAATTTCATTATCATAAAATCAATAAAAACTCTTGAAATTGTAATGAACATGTTCAGTTTTGTTAGACATGATATTGAAACAATCATGAACATATTGTTTTCATAATTAATTAAGAATTAAAAGAAAAAGAAAATGTAGTACATCAATTTATTTGGCGCACGAGTTAAATATCAAAGCGCTAAAAATGAAAAAGAAAAATGTTCATTGAGTTGTTCCGTTTTCATTACTTGTTACTTTAATGAATAAACATCATACATCATGTTTTCATCGTCATCATATTGACAGTGTTCGTTCGTCTGATTGTTCTCAACAAGTCGATGATTCACATTTGTTAATTCATAATCAGTCAGGTCACGATTGTCATCGAAATAATCACAATAGTGGTTTAATTCAACATGATAAATTGATTAAGTCAACAAGTACAACTGCTTTTCGAAAACGACGTACAACAATACCTTCTAATCATCAACGATTACAATATTTGTTATCTTTAATCTTTCTTATTGTAATTCGTTTATCGATACTCTTAATTATTGGTTTTATACTTTATTATGCTTTTATTTATATTTATCCAAAACCTAAAAAAAATGGATGGGAACGAATTTGGTATACAATGATTGATTGGCTTTCTGGAGAATAAATATCGAAATTTTGTTTTTCTTCCATGAAAAACAAAAAGATTAATGCACATGTGTTATTTCATTTTGATCTGATAATTTGATAGTAAAATAGAAATTACGTTGATTTTTAGTAGTGTTTTTCCAGATTTTCTTTGCTTCTGGAGAGACAATTGAAAACTGCAAGTGGACGAATTAATTCTTTGAAGAAGCTCGGGTCACTCAGTAACTACGACAATGAAAATAATGTTTTTTTAGTCGTCATTTTTTATAAAGTCATATAGAATTTATGAAATGAACTTCTTGTCTATATTTTAAATAAATTATTAAAACTAATTATTTTAGAATTGTTTTATATTTCCATAGTTTATATGAATTTTACACATAAGCAATTTTTGAAGAATAATTCATATTCGATTATACTTTCTTTTTTTTTTAATTAAAAAAATTTCGCTTTTATACATAAAGACGCAGTAAAAGAAAGAAATTATATAAAAGAAAAAATATATTGTAAATCAATTGAAATTGAATTTTATTCTCTGAATAATTGAATAAACAGTTCAAACGCTGAATCATATAAATTTTAACAAAGTTGAATATCAAGTCTCGAAATTTTGCAAGAGCACAGCATAAGATTTTTAACAACAGTTCTCAATATTTGTGAGTTGATAAAAAAAGAAAAATCTTCATTGTTACATGTCACAGTATGTGTTTAACCGGAGATAACAGACCAGAAGTTTTAATAACTCTCTTCTTTCACAGCTTGACAAATAGAAATCTCTATCATGGCTTACAACTGAGATCGGAGCGATAGTTAACAAACCTACTGTATTATTATTCAATACAAAACAATACACTTCGTTCTATAAGAGCTGTGCAGGGTAATCCTACCCTTTACGGTTGGGTAGAATTACAATTAGAAGGTATTTCTTAGATAGGGTAAAGTATATAAAACAAAGACTTATCCTACAAATCTCTATTTTTTTCTTTTTCTTTTACAATACAAGTAGAACATTATTATCATATATAATTTTCAATTTATTAAGAAAGCATTTTTGTCCTTGAAATGGTTTTTGTACTTTTTTGCTCTGATAAGGTCTTTACTCATAAAATGAACTATATCATCTAAAACAGTGCTATGCGATAAGTATTCATTTAAACGACATGAGAGAACAATAAAAAAAGAAAAAGAAGACCAATCATGAAACTTTTTTTTTTTTTTTTTATCTCATTATCTTGTAACTTTAAAGCGAAATCTCCAAATATTATTCTAAATTATCACTACTAAAAGAAAACAAAATCATACAAATATTTGTTTCTTTTTAATCGTTAATCAATATTTACAAACATTTTGTTTTTGTTTAGTTAATTGAAAAATTGATGGAATAAAACGAGCGCGTTATTGATAATTAAAGAAATGAATACAACAAGTATTGCAGTGTTAACTATTATTCTTGGTGAAATATTTCTTTTTAGTCTTATGACAATAAGTACTCTTATAATTTATTATCATTTTGCTCAACCAAATGAACCAACAATTGATATTGATTCAATAGAAATGAGTGACCAAAATGAAAATACTATTCCATTAAAATCTCAATTAGAACAATTTCAATAAATATAATCTTTAAAAAATTTCTTTTTTAAAAGACGAAGAAAAAGCCAAATGACGAACAATACAGCTAAATAATGAAAAATAAAAGTTTAAACCAAGTGTCTTGTTGTTTTTAAACACTTCCATAATTATTCTTCAAATCTCGTAAAAGAATAATAGCCAATATCATTCCAGCAATTTCAACAAAGAAGAAGAAAAGTGAAACTCCACCTAATGCTTTTGAATATCGAAAGAATAAATTACGAGCTGATTGATAACAACCTTGATCAAAATAAGTTTCATTTACGTTAATTGGTTGACAGTCAAGTTTAATACAACATGAATCCGGCTCTTTAGCAAGTTTAGTTTTCTCTTTCCAATCTGCCGAACTATCAACACCACAACATGACCATTGTTGTTGAAGACGATTCCATTCTGTAATAACCTCACTATCTCCTGTTGCATATATTGCTAATGAACTATATAATTTATTCTTTAATGTAGCATCAGCCTTATTACGAAGCGTAAATCCAACAATAACAGCAATAAATTGAAGCAATAAGATTACAGCTAATGAACCAATAAAAAGTTGTAATAATCCTAAACGATTTTTACATGCACCAAGGAAACCTAATACAACCAACGAAAAAAAATATATATTTAATCATTTTTTTTTAGATACGAAACGAAAACGATTTACCAAGAGCTGATAAGATAATAATAAAAACACCTAATGCAATAATAAAACCAGCACCAGACATAATCGAACCACCAGTAATTTCGGCAACTAAAACAACTCGTTATAAAAATGAAAACATGTTAAAAACAGATGAAAACTTACACTGTGAAGCATGTCTATGGGCAACACTACCGGTAATGAGAAGTGAAAGACCGGCAATAAAATATAACGCCAGAAATAAAACAAACAGAGCCTTATTTAAACGCATCGTCTTGTTAAATGATTAACAAAAATTTAAATCTATCCTCGTATTCTGAAAGTAACGTGCAATCTAAAATGAAGAAAAAAGGATAAAATCTAGTAACAATGAACAACGCATCTTGCCTTCGAAGGAAGATGAAGAAAATAATAACGCTTCGATAATAGAAAGAAAACGAATGTTTGGCACTCTTTGATCAAAATGAAAGAAAGCATTAACAGAGATATATTTTCAACCAATTGTCGTCCAATCGACTGGTGTTAATTTTTTTTTGCTTTCATTTGTGTGCACAAAGAAAGAACATATGACTAGGACTATACATTAAAATATGGAGAGGCTTAACTACTTTTTTTTTATTGTAGGGTGATCGAGTAACCAAACAGATAAGTTATTTTGTCGTTTTTCCATCGATCGTGTGAATTGAAACAGATTTTTATTTGCTTCCTCTGTTTTTTATCAGATTTATAGCAATGCTGAAACAATTATTAGTCTACATTTGTCGCTCATCTCAAGGTCAATGAATAATAATAACAACACGTACAAATAGCATTAAAAAAAGACTCCGAAAATCAATAGTTTTTAGTGCAATGAGTAAAACAGTCAGCTACTGACTATTAATAAAATGAATATATATCCCATGTCGCTCGAACAGATAAAAAACCGTCGGTTAACCATGGTTAACCGAAAAATTTCCGGTTAACCGCAGTCCACAGCAGTTAACCGGCGGTAAACACGGTGAAGAGATGATTCTTCATCACAACCCTCTCAACGTCCTTCCTACACCCAACTACTCATGATATTTGTCGTTTATTTTAGGAGTGCACTAGATTCTACTTATATACCTTAAGATTGTACACTTTCGGTAAGATGACTTCCGAATCTAGCCNCGACAGGGGACGCGGACCGTGTTTACCCGGGCGACGTCCGAGCCGGTATGGATTTCGATTATGATCGTTCATGGTTGGTTTCTTTCGTCTTGTTCTTTTTACAGACGGCGGTATCTGCACCCCTTCCGTCAAACGCTCCTCCTTTATTCGGACTTGTGACCGACACAGAAATTGCAGAGTTGCGATCTCCGTGGTGGAGTTGGACTAATTCATTACTGACTACAAAAGAAGTTCAAAGTATTCTGTTTATCTATAGGTCAAAGATCATACTCTTTATCTTGGTTTCATAAACGTAATTGAAACAAATTCTTGTTTAGCATATTATATAAGTTACATTATCTGCTTTAGTAATCAAAAATGATGATATTTTCTGCCCCTGAAACTAGTGAATAAACATAGATAATTTGAAGTGTTTCACTAGTTGATGCAAGATATTTTACGATTAATAAATCATATGATAAATATAAGCAGAACTTCACATATAAAAAATCGTGCAATAACGTTGATTATAGATATATGTGTCAAAGAACATGAAACATTTTTATATTACGATGTTTGCATGTAAGAAGATGTTGAAACAACGTAGCATACATACAAATAAACTCAAAAAATTATAAAGAAAAACAATGAGTAAGCAAATATCAGTAGAGATATAAGGTGGACTTTGTTTCATCAAGACATATTTACTTATATTATCATTAAAGTCAGTATATTATCGAACGATACTTTTTTATCATCTTTGATTCGTCAAAATTTTGATACAGAACAGGAAAATAAAAAAAAAGACTTATGTTCCCATTTGATCCATTGTTTTTAAGCAACATAAGCTGTACAATAATTGATAAATCCATTCTATTAACAACGAAAGAGGTTTTAAAAGAAATAAATTGTTGATTCGATTTTATTGATGCAGGTAATGCTCATCACTTTTGATTTATTTGTTAAAAGAAAAAAGAAATAGAAGAAACAAGAGATTACTTTGAAAATAATTTTGCCGGGTACTTTAAGGTAAATCTAAGTGCATATATTCTAAATATGAAATTTGTGCTAAATAATATGTTTTTTTTTGACATTATAATGTATTGCGCCGTAATCTGGTTCACAAAATAATATGTCGAACTATATTTTCATAGTAGTTTTATTAAAGACTCATTTTAGAAGGATTTGATATGTTTTCAATTGTGGAAATTCTAGTCTCCACTTGGTGGTTATTTCTACCGATTCTTATTCTACTTTATCTATATATTCCTCAGTCGAATGAAACAAAAACACAAGTTCGAAAAACTCGCCGAGGTGTTGATCGAAGTTTAACATATCCTCGTCAATATCCATGTGGTTGGTATCGTATTTGTAATTCTGAAGATATTCCTAAACGAGGTCAAGTTAAACAAAGTTTTGCATTTGGTCGAGAAATGGTCATTTTTCGATCGGATGATGAACATAGTCAAGTTTATGTCTTAGAAGCATTTTGTATACATATGGGTGCTCATTTAGCTATTGGTGGACGCGTTATGCCTGGTACTAATTGTATACAATGTCCTTTTCATTTATGGGAATTTAATGGAAAAGATGGTCGTTGTACAAAAATTCCATATATCGATGGAAAAATACCTGATAAAGTAAAGAGATTTATTGTTTTTTGTTTTGTTGTTGAGAAAATGAATTATTTATTTACGTAGGCTAAAATGCATTCATATCCATGTGTTGAACGTCATGGAATGATTATGATTTGGTATCATCCTTTGAATGAACCACCTCATTATGATGCTATTTGTATAGATGAATTACTTACTGATCGTTTTGATTTTCGTGGTGCTTATAGTTATCCAAATATTCAAATGCATTTACAAGAATTTGCTGAAAATGCAGCTGATGTTCAACATTTTCAACCATTACATGGACAAATGTTTATTCCATGGACTAGAATTCGTGTACCATTGATATTTATTCATCATACGGCATCACTAGAATTTGCTACTCAACCTCATATTGCTTATTTTTATGATACAGCTATGTTAAAAATCTTTGGTAAACGATATGAATCAACGAAAGTTGATGCATCCATAACATTTCATGGCCCTGGTGGAATAACATTATTTCGTTTCGATGGAGACTTTGGAAGAGTTTATTTATTTCATACACATACACCAACAAATTATACCGAATTAGATGTTGAATTTCGATCTTATGTTGAAAGAAAAATACCGAGATTATTAAGTTGGTATATTATTGGAAATTGGATTGCACAATGGCAAAGAGATATTGATGTTTGGGAAAATAAGGTTGAAGAAAAGTTTTTTTTTTTGATTATTTCAGAAAAAATAACGTCATTGTTTCTTTTTATTTAGATATATAAACGTGCACCATTTCTTGTGAAAAATGATGGTCCTATTTTAAAAATGCGTCGTTGGTTTAGTCAATTTTATCTTTCTCACGAAGATAGAGATAATCTTGTCAACACGTTAGATTGGTGACTTTTATTTTTATATGACATGTTTAAATATTCGATTACATTTTTTTATTTTTTATAAATATTAATTATTTCTTTTTATATATTCTCATATGAAGAGACTTGGATTCAAAGTTCAGATCATCGTTATTGGAGAGTATTCTTATTGTTCTAATAGAAAAATAGGCTTGAAATGATATAATACTTCTTATTTTCAATTCTTAGGGAATTTACTGGACACAAGGTATCTGGCACGATACTCTGACACGAGTATATGACAGGAACTTTTGGGTATTGTTTTAAAACTTGACTCAAAAATACTTCTGCATGTTCCTTTGATTAATTTGTTGTAAAATGTCTCATGCGATGCTATAGTGACAGGGCAAATACAAGAAAGAATACATAATAAGTAACTCATGTGCTGAGACAATTTAGAGCAGCGCATCCTACCAAATATTCTCATTATCACAGACTGCGAGCAGAATACCGCTTTAGGTAACTTGCTGAAACCTATCCTAGAACATAGATGCCTTGAACTCAATAAGTTTAATGAAGATTTACTTCGTTTGCTATACTATTTATAATGATATTAAAACCAAAACTAAATAATTATCATATGAAGTTTTCTCTTGTATTAAAAAAGAAGTAAGAAAGTTTAAATATGGTCAATTTATCGAACATTATCGCTTTCTATATCCAGTAATAAACATATGGATATATATTTATCATTCACTGTTCTTGTACATATTTCAATTGAAGAGAAAAAGCCTATCAATGATGAACAACAAGGTTGGACTATACCTGACGAAAAGAGTACAGAAAAGGAAATAGTTCATGATAGAGAATCAGATAAATGAAAGAGCATAGCCACATACAATTTTAGTAGTAGAAAAACCAGATGGGTATTACAACGTGCTCAGTTTTGAGATAGAAGGCTTTGAGTTACATTTGCGTGCGTTGCCAGAAAGTCTTCACCTCCTCTATAGACTTACTTAGGCTGATACCCGTTATCTATCCCAAATTATTTCTACTTGAATAATTTGCATTTCTCCTGAATGAAATTCTTTTCCACTAGAATTTATCGCTAGAATGAAAAGACAGTAAGACTGCAATCTTCTTATGTCTTTTGAACGTCTGCTAATCAAATTAGAAATGAATGAATGAGTTCTCCGTTGGAAGTATTCCATTTTCTGTGGTGTGAATGATTTGAAGTAATGGATCTTGTTCCCTAAAAAAAGTTTCTGCTAGATATGAAACATTTTCCTCCTTTTAGAGTTATGTCCAACTTGCATCACGATAACTGCTAATTACGATGATTATCAAATGAGTTTTTCATTTATATAATATAGTAACTTCAAGTTTGACAACTCGTTTTATAGCAGTAAAACAAAGTGAAGGAAATTCATATGGTTCGGAAACATCACAAACCTATTTTACATACTAAGAATTCGACAATAGCCAATTATGACGAAGAACACGAATAAAAGGAAATTTATAATTTTGAGTATTTTCATTTTCGTTACAGCCAACAGTAAATTACACGAAGAAGTGATAATCATTCTATTTCCATTTTTTTCAGTATTGCTGAACAAAAAAAAGAACTCCAAAATGAGCCGAATCATATCTCTCATGAATTTTGAAGCATAGGTTTTGGTCACGATTGTCTTGTCTTCTGCTTGATTATTCTATTTATCAAAATCATTGATTCATCATTGGTCGAAATTACTCATGTATGTCATTTAAAAAAGAAGAATTTTATTTGTTTTGATAATGCGTCTATTGGGAAAAGTAACTTTAAGAAGTAATTCACTAGCTGATGTTGATTCTCAGATCATTAGATAATACTTTTTTTCATATAATAATGAAATAATCACCTTTTCTCTTTACGTTGCTTTATAATTTATGAGATAAAAAGAAACGTTCTTTACATATGAAATAAAAGACTAGAGATGTATTAAAATGAGCAGGAATTTATCACTAAGATTAGAAAATCTTAGATTATTAACAGTCATGAGCGTAAAAAACTTTCACTAAGAAAAAAACAGAAAAGAAAAAGAAAGTCATTTTCTTAATAAGAAGTATCATCTCAAGTGACGACGCTAGAAGAAAAAAAAAGAAGAAAACGTAAAATAAACGTCATTTATATCGGATATCAAGTTAACAGAGTATACCGATGGGTTGTTTTTATTCATCAATAAATCAAATTAACAGTGAATATGTTCTCAATTCAATTGATATCTTATATTTAACACAATCATGGAATATTATTAAAACTCACAATCTTCACAAATTTGCTCAAGACGTTCTTATAAAGTAAAGAAAAATGAACATAGAAATACAAACATAATAATATTCGATATATTTAGAGCCACTAATCAAAGTCCATCACTCCGTCAATTTTGGATATCAAAAATTCAAGTTGAAGGAAATAATTATGATTATGGTCAAAATGAATCATGTTTAAGAACTGATTTAAGCTGGCATATTGGATTACGTGAATATAGTATTCAACTTATATCAATACTTGATAAACTTATATCGGTTATTATTAATGGAGATCCTTTGAAAAAAGATATTCAATCTCTTGGCCTTCCAGAGAATATTTTTCTCATTCGATATGAATTCTTCATGGTAGTTTTTTTTTCTTTAAACCCAAAAGCTTTGATTAATTCTCTTTGTAATTTTTTTAATACTTGATAGACAATGAAAAAATGTATATTGGAGACCATTCAAACACATTTGAAAATGTTCAACTATGATTTTACCAAAAATCATGAACGAGCTTGGAATAAATTTTTATTATTTATTGAACATGTGATCAAAAACGAAAATACAAAAAGACAACCAACAGAAGTTATCGTTGTATCAGATGGTAACAGTCAACAACATTGATAAAAAAAGTTTGATTAAAAAGAGAAATTCTTTTTATTTTTCATCAAAATAAATATTAAAGTTATTGTTTGGTATATAAACAATATCTATACGTTTATTGTTATGCTAGATAACTAATATTGATGAGTCTTTAGTTTTCGCTTCACTTACATTATTTAATATGAGTTTTTGACAAATAAGAACAGCAATGTCAACAATGAAGGAATCTATGATTTTTAATAAAATTGATTCTGACAATAAGCGAGCATATAGATGAAAAATATTTCTATATTCTATTTTCTAAACAAATAATATAATAAATGATTTTTTAAACATAAAAACATGCAATATGAATAAATAATACCGGCAATTATCGAAATCACGTGAACTTTAAAAAAAATAATAATAAATCTGTTTCTTTTTCAATTAACAATACTTCATGAATAATATTTAAATATTTATGCTAATGTACTGCGAGTCTTGTTCAATATATAAGAAATGTCTTGAAAGTTTTGAATCAATTTTAAAGTGCATCATTCTTGCATTTAACAAAAAACAAATTCGCGGAAACTTTAGCAGATTAGTATACTTACTTTATACTGAATAGATACAAACTTTCAAGTGAGTGACTTCGACGATAAATGGAGAATTGTAACAACACTATCATAACAAGTTTCCATTTAAATTTATAAATTTCTTTGAGAATTCAATTTTTATCTACGAGTGCTTAGAGCTCATCAGACTATTAGATGGTGATTTTCAAAAACAAAAAATTCTTTTATTGGTGACATATATGCAAAATTCATTTGGATGAAGTATAATAGCAGGAGTAGCTAAAAAAATAGATGATTCATGAAACATTATGTTTCAGGATGATCAGAATCATGAACGAAAGATGTGACTAACTTACTGGTCAAAAGTGCTCTACTTATGGAGGTGTTTATTGTTGGAAGATCTTCAATGATTATTTCAAATGATAATTATTCACTTGCCATCACTTTTCCTTCTTGTTTACATGAATAGAACCCATAAGTCTTAATAGTTACTCAGATATTCTTTTAATATAAGATATATATATATATATAATCAATTTCGAGCATTATTGTGAATGATTGAATAATCTAAAAAGAAATCTGTGAAACCTTTTACTATTCCACATTGTGCTCAAGATAAAAACAATTTGTTTATGTATCGGCTTTTCTTTGAATAAAAATATAGAAAAATCTAATATGAAGATTAGATCAAAACTTTCAAGACATTTCTTATATATTGAACAAGACTCGCAGTACATTAGCATAAATATTTAAATATTATTCATGAAGTATTGTTAATTGAAAAAGAAACAGATTTATTATTATTTTTTTTAAAGTTCACGTGATTTCGATAATTGCCGGTNCGTTTAACTAAAAAGAGATGCTCAGATCTATGAATACGAAATTCTAAAACAACTTTGTATGTTTCATATTTCTTCATTTACAATCGTATTTTATTCTATTATGTAGTTCAATATTACGATTTATCTCCATGATACTAGATGAAGCAAAAAGGACATTTTATATACGATTTGAAGGTACAAATATTGTAGACGAATGGTTCTCATATGCGTATTTCTCAGTATTAAATCACACCCACACCCACACCCACACACCCCACCCTATGCAAACAAGCTGAGAGAAATTCTGTAAAAATTCACGGAAGCTATGGAGCTCCAGGTCCTTCTAGATTTGTGCTCGAGTCCAAAGTATAATTTATTGTCGGGTCTGAGCTTGGGTCTGGTTCACAAAAACGTGGACTCGCAGTTTCTTATATGTACGTATTAATGAGCATTAAACATTTTTTGTGTAAGATTTTTAAAATCGACATCATTAATTGTTTTGAAAGGCACATAGTAAAGTGCTGAAGATTCAATATAAGCAACTTTTATTTTCTGCCAAACTCGGTTTCGAAAAGGTGGTTTATCTTTTGCAGAAGCATAACATTGATTGATATCTGTTTGAGCATTGAAGACTATCATTTTACTTTTATGTTGACAACTACGAATATGCTTAGATAGGGAGTTTGTAGCACAAAACGATTTATAAAGAAACAAATCTTCACATTGATTGTACAGAATATATTCTTGATTGATCTCGTTTACATAAATCCAACTAAAACTATTTCATATAGCTAAAGATTTTGATGTCACTATTGGTTTGAGGATTTTCAATGACAAATTTGGTTTATCTATTAACTGTTCAATTTCCTTTTTTTTTGTTTCTTGTTAAGATAATGCTCTTTTCAACTAAGCGAAATTTTTTTATTTATTAAAGATTCAGTGGTGGGAAAATGAACCAAGAAAAAAGCTGTGCGTTGAGTTTTTTCCTTCAAGTAGCTAAAACCTTGATCCTTCACTTGTTTATGAACACAGAGTGTCAGATATTTGGCGAAAAAACTCGTGTCTGAATCCGACCAGTCTACTTTCACAGAAATGTGAACCCGTAGCTCCTTAATTAACACTACTTTTAGTCATATAAATTCTCTGTTCATACTATTACCGTGTATTATGATTAACCTCTTGATTATCAACTGATGTAATTGATGTTATTTTCTGTTTTCATGCATGATCAGCATTAAAGGCAGTATTCATGAATGAAGAATCAAAGAACTGCCATTCCTATTTAACTTGTAGTGATGTCTATAGTTTTCTTTTTTAAGAAAACTTTTTATTTCTCAATTGCAACAGGCTATAAGCAAGTAAGTATAACTACTAAGAATATGAAGCGAATTTTTAGCGAATTTCGGAAGGGAGAACGAAGAGAATTTCTTCAAATAATTTTATTTTTTCTGTAAAAACCTTAATTTGGATTATTCATTGATTTAGATTGGTTTTTCTCTTGGTTAATCATTCATTTTATTCATAAAAATTCTTCTTCTTTCATCTTATCAATCATAAAAAGAAGATCATTCATATTCACTTAGTACAAATTAGTAATTAAAATATATCGAAGAGTCATAGAAATCATAATACTCATCGACAATACTAATTCAAAAATTGATTACCAATCATTGACATTGATATCCTTATCATTATCTTCTTTGGATAGATAAAACTGATTAAACCAACGACGTAATTTCATTACTGGGCCATCATTTTTTACAAGAAATGGTGCACGTTTATGTATCTTAAATAAACGAAATTTTTTTTTTCATTCCAACAGAAAAAACAACTCATTTTTCATTTACTTTATTCTCCCAAACAAAAAGATCTCGTTGCCATTGAGCAACCCAATTTCCCACAATATACCAACTTAATAATCTTGAAATTTTTTTTTCTGCAAATACTCGAAAAGCAACATTTAATTTCGTATATTCACTTGGCGTATTTGTATGAAATAAATATAATCGTCCAAACTTTCCATCAAAACGAAATAATGTTATACTGCCGGGTCCATGAAATATAATTGATGCACTAACTTTCGTTGATTCATAACGTTTACCAAAAATTTGTAACATAGCTGTGTTATAAAACATAATTTTCCATGGTTCTTCAACAAATGAAAATGATGGCATATGATGAATACTAATAAATGGAACAAAGCATTCAGTCCATGGAATTAACATTTGTCCATGTAATGGTCCAAAATGTTGTATATCAGCAGCATTTTCAGTGAACTCTTGAAGATGCATGTTTATATTCGGATAATGATAAGTGCCTCGGAATTCAAAACGTTTTTCAAATAATTCATCTATACATATAGCATCATAATGTGGTGGTTCATTAAAAGGATGATACCAAATCATAATCATACCATAACGCTCTACACTTGGATACACTTGAAGACATGCCTAGTAAAAAAAAGTCTTGTTTTTATTTAGAAAAAAATAAGAATCGTTTTTTTCTGCTTTACTTTTTCAGGTATTTTTCCATCGATATATGGAATTTTTGTACAACGACCATCTTTTCCATTAAATTCCCATAAATGAAATGGACATTGTATACAATTTGTACCTGGTACAACACGTCCACCAACTCCTAGATTTGCGCCCAAATGGACACAATATGCTTCTACGACGGATATTTGGCTATGTTCATCATCACCTCGAAATGCTACCATTTCTCGTCCAAGTAAATAAAAATGTTTTAAATGACCTTTTGAAATTTCATTAGATTCACATAAATAATACCAACCAACCGCATATTGGCGAGGATATGTTAAACTTCGATCAATACCTCGTCGTGATCCTACTAGTTTCTTTTTTGGCCGACGAATATATAGAAAAGCAACGAGAATAATCGGAACAATACACAACCAAATGTAAGAAGGAATAAATAAATCATATGTTCTTGAAAACTAGTAGTTTGCATAATATTATTGAAAGAATTAATTGTTACTTACTTAAAATGTTCTATCATAGTTACAACACTCATTTTAGAAAAATAATTCTCTTTTCAAAAGAATTTTTATTATTCAAGTTAATATATGACAAGAAGCCCGCTATGTACATACACGTCAGACAAACAGATAACATCTAGGTTACCTTTGACTGAAGAAACATAAGAAATATATCTTAAACATGTATATTTTTTAAAGCAAACATTTATGATTTATGTAAAGAAAGTTACATAGGCTTGACTTGAAAAATAACAATGACGCAATACCTTTGTGTTTGACTTCAGTTGAGTTATGAAGCACACTTTCGTATCTTCAGATAATATCTTAAAATTTAATGCTCTCTTTTTTTATAATAGAAGAATATCAAATACGAGATGGATATTAATTTCCTTATCATCATTCAATTGAAATATTTAACTCTTTCCGGCCGGATGTTGAATTTTGACAACATTG